TAGATGGAGATGGAGATGGGCAAGTAGCTCAGATTTGTGTAAATCTTTGGCTTATTATTTCCATCTAAAACTTCAGATGATCCTATCTCAGGGACACTGTTTTTAAGGGAAATTGCCTCTGTCTCCATTCAACAAATTCTGGAATACCAACCCCTCACTCATTCAACAAGCATCAGGATGAATCTCTACTGTGCCAAGTATTAGACTAAGTACGTGATGACTTAATAATCGAAGAAAAGTCTTCCCTATTCCATTCTTGTCCTACAAGTGCCACTAGTATAATGAGAAAACCCAAAGTGCCTTAGTTACTACATGACAAGATGCTTCATTAATGGCAACTATGTTTCTTTTTTAACCAAGGCCAATTATTATTATTTCTCAGAAATATGATCTCTTGGGGGAAAAAAGAAAGAAAAAATAAGTTCCATGTATGATTAACTAGGGAATATAATTTAATTTAAATGGGTCATCACACAAAATACCAGTATGCCCAAAAGACACCTGCCATAGCACTGGTAGTACAGAAACATTCAGCTACTCCATTAGGATCAGGGCCTTTTATTTGCTTTGACCGCTGTAAACGGCACTGCATTGATTTTAACTTGTACTATTTTTACCATATAACTCCAACTTGTTGCTGCTTTCATTAAAAATTAGGTGGGAAAGTTAACCATGTGGGTATAAAAAACATTCTAATCTTTAACCCATTTTCTATTGAAAACATTGTTTTCTTTAAATGATTGCTCATATGGTGGAGAATCTTAGTAATGAAACTGTAACTACACTCTGATAAAATAGGTTGGATTGGGTAGTCACCTGACCAAGATATCACACTAGGTTAGGGAAGAATGGAGAAGATGGATACATTTGAAAGTGATAGACATTCACAAGGTAGTCAGATTTCCAACATCTACCATCACCTAGAGTATGGTCCAACCCAAAAAATAAGTGAAAAATAAGCCTCAACCTTCGGAAAGATAACTCCCTTTGCTCCACAAAAGGCCATCTTTAGTGACTGAGGTCACAGCCTAATAATTTAGCAGTATGTGCAAAATTAAAGGCACATTTTAAAATACTTGTATATGAAGAAACCTTAAATTCTGTCCTACTTTTTAATTCACAATGGATTAGACAGAAGTCATTTCAGATCAGGTATTCTGGTAAAAGGACAACCAACTAACTAACTAACTAGAGGAACTTCAAGACAAGATGAAATGTGAACACAGATTTCTAATTGCCATTCACCCTTACCCAAATCCTAAACTTCCTCAGGAAAAAAAAAATCAGCAGAATATGAAAACTTGCAAAGTAACACATACTAATGCTTCTAGGAAGTGGGCAGCAGATTTTTACCCCATAAAGCAGTTCAGAAGCATTCCTGACACTGAAGGCCACACAGAGCTACCTGTCAAACAGGAA